AAAAAGACGATAACATAAAACTGCAATTATCTTTTTTATGAGATTTACATAAATGATATTTTATGTTCGAGAATCTTATGTCTTACAAGTGATTAATGTATATGTGTATATACAGCAGATCGAATTGTTTCTAAATTAATTGATCAATGATATAGATACAATTGCAAAAAGTGCGCAAATTTCAGTTGTGCACTTAATTATGTTTATTTAATGACGCACAAAATGGATTGGAATATTACAATAGATAATTTGTAAACAGAGCTGACTTTGCTCAGTGCAGCTCTTGTCAGCTACACTGACAGTGATGGAGATATAAGTTTCGCCTATTTTACCAGGTCAACCCCAGCCTTAATACATGTAGTAAGAGTCGTGCTCTTTAAATTTGGTATCGTCTTGAAGTTTTGTACACAGCCGAGCCATTAGCAGTGAGGAGAAGATGGCGCTATTATCAACATGCAACACGTATATATGTAGGACTCCAAAGTCCGATGATTGATATATATATATATATATATATATATATATATATATATATATATATATATATATATATATATATATATATATATATATATATATATGCACACTAGTATATATATATATCAATATATGTATAATATGTATATAAAACAGATTAAATCAAGAAGTTTAATTCATTGTTTACAAGTTAATATACATGTAAATGACATTTTGAAGACAAAAAATAGAAACAACATGTAAAATAGCGTAAAATGTATGTAAAACGCATTGCATAAATCTTAAGTGCTTCGCAAAAATTATTGCATGATTATTTATTGATCGCCATTTGTTTAAAATCTACCTGTTCCCTCCTGAGAAGACCTCGATCTTAATTACCCATGCTTATTAATTACATGATGCTTTTAGCGAGCAGCCTTTCGGGGAATCTATCGTGTATCTTTATATACGATATACTGGAACGCGTGCCTCCTCAGAGAATCCTGGCCTATTCCCTTGCATTATTAGATCTATCTTGTTTCTTAACTTTGGCGAGTAGCCGTTCGGAAATAAGCCAAGGATACTGTGTTATTTAAAGTGTATACAAGAATACTGGTGTATGATGGAGAAATGGAACTAATTTAGAGAATGGAGGAAAAAATTATGGCTGGAAAAACTTACAGCGAAAAAGGAAAGTTCTGCGTTTTATTTTATATTTTAGATTCATTTTGATAATTTCTCAGTTTCTTACTGAGGTTGTCGCCCATCAGAGTATCTTGCCCATAGCTGAAGGACCTGTATGAAACAGCGGTATAGGTTCAATTGAACTTGAATTTACCATTACTAACAAAGAGCATGATTTTATGAACTTGTAGACAGATTGATTTTTGTATTTGTTTAGGATTAGCGCTTAAGCTAGTTGTTAAGTATACTAAGTATGATCAGATAAATTAAATTAATTTATTCCTTCTTTTTATCATCCAACACTTTAAAAGCTGTGTGAATTTACACAAGTATTGAATTAAATACACTACACAGGTCACCAACAATATACAAGCCAATATACAGCAATATATCACAGACTGGACAGCTAGGACCCCACTACCCCCACGGATATACACCCCCTGGGCTACCCCCCCCCCCCCCATATTTATTATACTTATTTATCATGTACATGTATCTATATGAAAAAATAGAAAAAAAACTCTCAAAATTACCGTTTCATACAAAAATACCCCACTATATATGCATAATAAGGTCATTATATATAATAATTAAGTGATGATGGGGAGTGGACTGGGGTTCTGGAGACATCTTTTGTGTCCCCCCCCCCCACAAAAAAGGGGGAGGGAGAGAAAACAATACAAAACAAACCGAAAGAAAAGAAATGAATAAAAAAGCATTCTTATTATTGACTGATAATGATGAGTGGTTTTTTTGTTTGTTTGTTTATTTATTTGTTTTTGTTTTGTTTTGTTGTTCCCAGTTGTTTTATTATTAATATGGCATTAAATGTGCTCAAAAACTGAATAGCAGGCGCATTATTCATATTTTTCTTACTTTTTGGGCAGTGCCCCCGCCCCGGCCACCCTTTTCAAGTGAAAGTGTGACGGTGCACATTTTAATGTTTTTAAATTTTGACATAATTTTATATAATCAATAATTATCAATATTTTTATCTTCATTATTTTATTTTTCTAACTAAAATTATAGGCAAGTTTTATTTAAAAGTTTATGATTTCGAGAATAGGAAATTTTTAGAATTAAGTGTGGCTTCTAAATAAATAAATTAGTTTGTTCAGATTAACATTCACGCATAGGTTTCCTTTATTTCTTGGTAAAAATGTTACAGTTTATTTTAGAATAATACAGTCTCACATATTGGCAATTATCAAATGGTAAAGTTAATTTGTAATATAAACATTTGCTTGTCTATCTATTCATCTGTCAGTACGTAGGTATTTGAGTTAATTGCTATCACTTCGGGATTAACTCTTAAGTACCTTCTATACACCAGAGGAAAATATTTTTAGGACATCTAGAAAATTATAGTGTGTAAAGGTGTAAGTATTGAGCTTATCTATCACATTTTCAACATAAGGTGCCTTGCATTTACCCCCAGGAAAAATGTTCAAAGACAATGAAGTACTGATGAACATAAATACTGTTGTTTACTTAAGTGGGCAAAATATCTGCAAATGAAGTATTCTATCTATTCATCTGGGCCTATTAAAGTGTTATGAATGTTTGATTTGATCAAAAATTAAGTAATAAATTGCATACATGTGACAGAACTGAAAAATCACAAGTGGAGATTTGAAATTTTTCAGCTGGAGTTTGGGTCTCAAAGCTGGAGATTTTTTATCGACATTTTTCAAATCGCAAAAGACCATCCAACCCTCTAAATTCAGGAAAAAATACCTTCTCCCAGTTTATTACTTTACAAATTTTATTTTATAAAGTTGTTGTCTAGTTTTAAGAAAAATATGATAAAGTTTTTATTCAAATGAAGTGAAATTGAGTATTCAAAATAAAATCAATTCATTTACTAGTAAATTAATTAAGAGTTAACAGCATCATTAAAACATTGGATAAAATTTTATTTTTGATTTGGTATTGATATATCAACTAGTAAGTGAAGTAAAACATTCTAAGGTTTTATGTAACAAACTCTATGTCAGTAATTTGTTTAGAATATGTACAGATGAAATAAAAGTACCCTCTCAAAAAATATACAAATTAGAGTCAGGTATATTTTAGCAACACCCTGTAGTTTGATCTATTTTTAACTAGAGTGTGACCTACATTATAACTGTATCTTTTAATGACCACTGCAGCATTAGAAGACGGGTAACTGGGTATTTTAGCAACTAATTACAATGTTTTGCATTCAGTAATAAGCATCAATGGTCATTTATCAAGTTGATATATCACTAATTTTTACAACCTAATTATACGACCTCATGTTGATTCCTACGAAGCCTACGACCTCATGTTGATTCCTACGAAGCCTACTGCTGTGAAAATGGCGTTGTTATCTCAATTTCTTTTCATTCTAAGCAATTATATGAAACATGATAAAAAATATTGCAAGTAATATTTAATTTGAAGAATTTTTAAAACACGGAAGATTTAAAAATTAATCGGGAGGGGCGGAAGGGGGGTGAAATATCGGGAGATTTTGTCTCCCGCCGGAAGAATCACACGTATGAAATTGTACATTTCAATTAGTTTTATTCTTGATCAAAGGGCAGATCACTCTATTTGCATAAAAATACCACAAAATCAGAACTCTTTAGTGTGCAGTGTATAGAGGACTCTTAACAATAGATGTCAGAAAAAAGTGAGAAACTCTTCGGCAAGTTAAATCAAGCTCTAGGTAATAAGGGACGCTATCCTTGCGAGGCTCCGTTAGGAATAAATATCGATTAAATTCTATTAATGACAATTGTAATTAAATATAATAATCCCCCTTGAGTGACCTCTCAGAGGACAGGTTGGAGGTTTAAGTTTGTTCTCCCGTCTCCCTCCCGTCACTTACGCTCGAGACACGAGACAATAAACTCTGTTAATCTCAGCCTTGTCATATTTTAAGGTCAGTATTGAAACATTTATTTATTTTATATTTATAAGGAATATTTAGTATTTTTAATTAATAATTTAGTTTTATTCTAAATTAACAGTTTGGATTATTAATTGTAAATTAAAGTTAGGATCTATGCATTTATTGTAAAAAGAATAATCAATGGTCATCATATTATTAGGTATTAATTCCTTTAAAAGTTAATTAATCCAGAAAATAAATATCATGCTTCACCGCATTATTAAAGTTAAGTATACGATTAAAATTGTGTTTTATTTTCCATCTATAACATTTCATTTTATTTCACTTATGTTGAAATGTATCGGACGCCATAACTCTTGTAATATTTTTAGCACCATAAATGTAACCGGAAGTACTTTTTCAATATGGCCGTCAATGTTTAATGGCGGACCACTGTATTGTTTCTTTATTATCCCTTTAAGTTGTTTGGTAATTTAATACAAATTAATATTTCATATTTTGTATCTTACTATTAATTAATTATCATAATTAATACTTTGTAAATTAATCAATCTTTATTATATTGTAATATATTGTTCACTTACGCTCGAGACACGAGACAATAAAGTTAACTGTTAACCTCAACCTTGTCATATTTTAAGGTAAAAAAGGAATCGTCCAAAGGGCCAAGGACATAGGTGTTGCTGGACGTAAGGCACACACCAGGCGATAGAAGCGCACCGTAATAAAAGTCTTGGATCCGTTCCTGTTCACATTTAAAGTAGAACTCTAGATATAAAGAATTCATTTAATACCCACTTTTACAGATGACACAGATATGTGACCTTGGGCTACATTAGAGAGATTTGGGCTTAATGAAGATATTCCAGATCTTATCCGGCGAGCATTGAGATTTACAAGAATTACAATGGAACAGTCTTCATTTCATCGATTGGAATGTACCCGCCATGGATTGATACAGTTTATGTCACAAAGTAATGCTTCAATAATGCTTAAAATACTTTCATTTTAACAAAGTTTTTGTGAAAGTTGTGGGAGATATATATAGCAAAACACGTCGCTGCCTGCCAAGCTGAAACGCCCTTTCAAGAATACCTTTCATTGATTAAACACGTAACATGAATTTAGAAACTGGTCGGGTAAGATCTTTACACACAACCTTGTGATCTCAATTGACCTCGATGAACCTGAAGAATTTTCCGTCATCGCTCTGAATGAGTATTATGCATTCTGGAGAGGCAGACCCGATAGTATTGAAGTGACATTTAAAATCTTCTAGGGTTATGACTTGAGAGAAACCATCATGTTTCTTCCTATTCAGTATGGACGCATTGTGCACTTATTATCTCTATTTGGAATTCTTCATGCTTTGCCAAGGTAAGAAAACCGAATACCTCAATAAAACTTCGGTGTATCATTACGATAAATTTTAATTAATAAAAAATGTTTTTAAAGGCAATTACAAGTTTTATTTCGGTCTGAATTATCTACTTAATTAGCTTGTTTATGTTTAGCTGGGAACAACTCGAGAAGAACTTGACCCAAAACAATTTTGATATACCCCCATGGACTTATACAGGTAAGTTGTGAACATTTTCAAAATAGAATCGTTTTCAAGTTACATGTACTGTTATTTGTCTTCGTACAATACACTTACGTCTAACTTCTACATGACTTTAAAGGAATACAAAGGGATTTAAAATTTTTCAAAAAGTTCTTAACGACCTTAGAGATTACATACAGACTTTAAATGATTTGTTAATTATAATTCCTTGAAAATTTTCACAACATTTAATTATGCCCAAAAAAATCCCTAAAAACAAACAAACAAACAAACCAAAAAAAAAAAAACAAAACAAAACAAAACAAAAAGAAACAAAACAAAACAAAAAACAACAACAAAAATAGAAGAAGAATTGGATAGGCATTCGAGTGCAGCGAATTTCATTTTCTACAGAAAAACGTGTCTTTTTAATATATTGATTTTTCGACGAAGTATTGAGGTTGAAAACATATAGTTGGTGTATCTTAACTATGACAAGACTGTTTGCGATTCTCATTATAATGCTATGTAAACCAACATTTCAGGTAATTCAACCCACATATCTACACAACTTCTTTTCACCCACGTACAGTCGGCGACATTATCGGTGAGTAATAATATCTCTTCCAAACCATTTCTATTGATTTTTTGTTGAATATAAAAAGTAATAGATATGACATAAACTTGTATCGATCAACTATTTGTTTTTAAATATTTCATTAGAGATTTTTTAATATTTTCCTCTTCGTTCAATAAATCCAGGGAAATGCGAACTGCATGCCATTTGGAGCAAATACTTTCATGTCGCATTATTGATTACAACTGCAACGGTCTTAGAAGAAACATATATGTAAATTTTACATGAGAAATTTGCACCAAACAGATGATCAAAAGAGTTTTTATTTGCATTTTAAATAAATATTTGGTCAAGTTAACGAATTAAATTTTGATCTATTTACTGTCAGTCAATGTTTTGAGTTTGTTCTTTGCACATTTACCTATGAACGAAACCTTTGCATTAGGAATTGGGAAGCTCTTTTCATCTAATTCAAGAATGGGAGGATATCCGTCTAAGATACAACGCAAATTCTGTCCAATTTGCGGGGAAATATGTGTTACTGGACTTGGATAAATATGTGTATATATGGACACCTGATAGTTACATACACAATGCCATATCTGAACTGCAGCACAGCGTCACCAAACCAAATGTATTCATCCGCATCTATCCCAATGGAACACTGGTAAAAAGTACTAGGTCAGTTGTACCAATGACTGCTCCCAAAACCTGCTACAAAAGATAATTAACCAGACAGCATGTATAGAGAGTATAGGACATTTATCCATCGAATTAATTTATTCTTCAAAAAAAAATTTCAATATAATTAGCATTGTTTGTGAAACTTTGTGGTCGGGGTTTTCATAATTTGAAGCATTAATTTGAATGTCTTTACACGTAATTTTGATAATGTTCAAAAACCTTTTTTTTAAATAGACGAGGAAATATTTTAAAATCTTTGAATGAAGGACTTTCAGACAAGGTTAAGTTTATATAGATTTGAAAGACAAAATTTCATGTTTGACAATTTAAGGATTACCATCTCGACTCCCACTTAAGTCACAGCAATAAATGAATTATGGTGGTTATGATGATTAGAATTTTAAAATTATTTTATGCAAGTCAGTTTAGTTATGCAGAAATTGCATGGAAACGTATATGTATCGCAGATCTTGATGACACAGAGATTTTTATGCGAAAGAGATCCAGCTTGCATGAAGCAAATAATGATTAAAGCAATACTTGGTGCCATAACCATCAACTCTAACAAGTAAAGCTTAGAAGTATTAGAAGTGTAAATTACATTTACCTCTACAGGTCATATCTTTTATGCAGGAGTTGTAATCCATTGCTTAGGAAATTTTCAGGAAAACAAAATTTGGCATAACCTTAACATTTGGCAGAGTTTATACACCATATTGCTTCAATATGAATATATTCAATATGAAATTGTGCATAAATCAAGTTGTCTATTTGTTGATTTATTTTATTTACAGATTAACAGTAAGAACACCATGTCCCCTGACGTCAGTTGGCTTTCCGCATGGTTCTCAGATATGTACAATGGTGTTTAAAAGCTGTGAGTAGCGTTTGGGGTATATATATAAATGACAAACAAATTCAGAACTTTATGCCAGGCGATTTTTGTTAACATTTTTGCATTTTAAACTACCTCTCTGTAATAAAATATCGACGAACACACCTGAACAAATTAACCTTAATTTTATAGACTCCTTTACAACATCTGAAGTGAATATGATTTGGAGTCATCCTAACCCGATCAGATACAGTGACGAGTTTTCCACCAGTGGCTTAAAAGTTGCCAGTGTTACAGAAACAGACTGTCCCCAAAAATCAAGTAAATATTTTTGTCAAGCGATATAGAAAAGGTGAATATAATATTTAAACAGAATCATTTTATTTCATTGGATTTGAATTTATAATTATAGTTTCACATTCGTATTAGAGAGTATATTATTCTTCGTACTATTCTCATTAAAGATACATTTGTAACTCTGGTCCTCTACAAGTTTTGCTGCAATATCAGTATTGTGGAACGGAACTGCAAATTAATCTAATATTAAGAAGATTGTCTCTCTTTCAACGTCTGAGGAAAACTGACTGAAAATCTTTATTAAAGCTACAGAGACTGTAAACCAGCTTTCTTTCATGTGCGAGAAATACCCCGCGAGTTTGCGACCTTCCTTTACTCACGAATTATTGCCGCGAACCATTCAATTGTATATTTATGAAGAATGTTTCTTAGGCTCAAAATTAATGGTCGCAGATAGATTTCAATTTGAAGAAATTGCAAATTAATGTTGTTGCTAGTGATACATGTAGTTTGTTTAGTTTACAGTATTTCGCCCTGTTTTAGGGAATCCTGCTGTAAGACATGATATACGGAAATTGTCAGGAAATCTTTGCAGATATACATGGTGTTGTTTTCTCAAGAATGTTAAATGAAACGCATCCAGATTCCATGATATTTTCTCAAAATTTACCGTTTTTGTGTTTTATGATTATGAATAAGACATTCGAGTGTTGCTTTTGTGAAGTTTGGAGGGATATCTTTAATAAATAAGGGCGGGGGGAGCACTACCCAAGCGCACAGAGGTAATCCTGAGGTGAAAAAACTGAACTAAAAATTGTGTCTTGAATGTGACCCCTTGCGTGAAATACTACTTCTGAGGAGTTATTCTTATCCCATGATATCGAATCACCTCATTTCATCTGTGTATTTATTTACAGGAGAAAGTCCATGTTTGAAACTCCAAGTCGGTATAATACGGGACTTTAGTCAACTGATTTTACGTATCTACGTCCCAAGCGTGTTTTTAGTGATTCTGGGATGGATGAGCATGTGGATTGACAAGGGCCAAGTTGGCGCGCGCACCAGTCTGGGTGTGTTATGTGTACTCTCTATAGTAACGCAACTAGTGGGCGTGGTTTCACTTGGGAGTGGGCTTGAAGGCTTAATTGCAGTTGACATTTGGATGGCAGCTTGTATGTTCTTTACAATTATTGCACTCTGTGTGTTTGCTGTGGTACACAATATGAAGCGAAGGAAGGATAAAAATAAACAAAAATACAAGGTACTCCCATTTCTCTTCATTCATTCAAAGGTTGATTTTGATATATTCCATTGAACTCGAAATAGAAAAAATAACCCCAGGGTCTAACACATCTGTTTCGTATTTGAATGTTTTACTAGAGAAAGACTTCGATGGCAATCTAACAAACTTTATGACAAACGTATTGAGTTTCTTATTCCCTTATTTATATATAAATATCCTAGTTGATTCGAATTTGCTAGCATGTTTTACGTACGAACAATTTGTAAACCGAGACAGGCTTCTGACAAATAAGTTAATGTAACTGGGTATGAATAATCTCGCTAAAAGCCATCAATTTTGAAATCCCATAGTATATACAATGACCTTTTTTACGGTTAACTCCGTTTACCTGATAAACACAAAAGGTTCCCGGCGGGTGTGACTGGTTGACAGGGGATGCCGACGAAGTACTTTTCGATGGCACCTGTTCCCACGCGTCTGTGTTTTCTGCCCTCAGTTTGTACCGTTGCATTAAAATTTTGATCATGATTACTGTTCGTTTTCTCTCCGATAAATATCCAATTTAGTCCTTTTCTTTCCAAAAGCATTTTCATTTTACTCACGTGCTCTTTAATAATAACTTCTCTGGCTTTATTTAGGTGGGATCTGAAGACGAAGAAGGGGCATCTTGTTGTGACGTCCAACATGGAAGACTTCAAAATATATTCAGAGTTGTCTACCCTCTCTTGTTTATAATATTTAACGTTGTGTATTGGATATATTTTTTATCGGTAGATTAATATCCCAATTTATTACAGAACGTTTAGTACATGTATTTTTCTATCAATAATTACACTTGATTCTCTTGTTGGAATATGTCTGCATAAAACTGACTCACTAGAAGCGGGGAATATCGATTTCCAGGGTCTCTCCCTCCGTTTGTCTGTCACTCTGTTTGTAAAACTTAAGTTTCTGGACAAAATCCAAAAAAGTCCTTTAGCTTTTGCAATGAAATTCTTGTTCTTAACTTCCTGTGGCTTGAAAAAGACTCCTATTGATTTTTATGTCCAAAGGTCAAGGTCAGATTCACATATTGTAGAGAATGGTTTCCGGATGATAAGTATACATGTAGTTCTCTGATTTTTTGCAATGAACTTTTATATCAAAACCCTCTATAACTTAAAGAAAACCTCTATTGATACTAAGTTCAAGATCAAAAATACACATTTTGCATTAAATGGTTTCCAGATGATAACTTAAAATTTTTGAGCTCTTGAAATAAAATTTAATGCGATGAATCTCTTTATGTAAAGAAAGACCCCATATTGATTTTTTAACCGAAAGGTCATGCTCAATCATCCCTTTCTTTCTCCATCTGCATTTTAAGGTTTTCCACCTTTTAATTTACCCTTAATTGGGGAACATAAATTCCCTGAATTAGCTTGTTAATTCACAATTATATATGAATAATAATTCGGTACTTTAGTTTAACTCAGAATGTGGATTCATGTTTTTTAAAGGGTTATTTGTCTATAAAACATACTAGTTCACCTTTGCATCATAAGGACCTACATACATGTATAGTAATATTGATACATATATATTTCATTGTTAGTACGGGTTCATTTTTATTAATGTGCCATGACATTATTTTGCCTTAAATGTATGAAGACTGAATGAGATAAATTTTTAACAAATTTTATTTCAAATAAATTCTTGTATTTATTGTATATCTGAAGTGTTTCATTTTCTTATTTAAAATTTCCTAGAATGTAACTGAACAGATGCACAACATTGTCTTTTGCCGCTGCACTGTACATGTAGTCTAAGCATTATGCATAATTGTGAATGGATTCACTTACTTTGCATACACTTTAGAATGTTCTCTATTTTGGTTTCTTAAAAAATTATTTAAGGAGAGAATCATTATCTTTCAAAACTTTTTCTTTAAAATTTAATTATATATATATATATATATATATATATATATATATATATATATATATATATATATATATATATATATATATATATATATATATATATGTATAAAGCACTAAAAACCAACAACACTGTATATCCTAAGTGTCGGATCTACTAAGTAGATACAAGCCCACGGATGGAAATTTATATAAAGCACTATATATATATATATATATATATATATATATATATATATATATATATATATATATATATATATATATATATATATATCAATATTTGATACAAATTTTCCTTGGAAATATATTTTTTTCACGAATAAATCAAAGAAAATGTATGCATCCTGAAATAAGTTTCCCTCAGGGGACATAACAATATTAGTGGGAAGAAAAAGAAAAACTATACACAGTAAGGAATACAACTGCTGAATAATTATGCACACACGTATTAACTGCGTGATACAAGACAATTGTTCATTCTCGTATATTGCAAGAGAAAACAGAATTTGTCACTTGTGTTCATATAATGAAATTGGCGATGAGATCCACTACTTATTTATTTGCACTGATCCACACATAAAGCATTATAGACTAGCATGTTTTTTTTTTCAAATATTATATACAAATCTTAATCTTTTTTTTTAATTTTGAACAACTACTTAATATATATAAAAAACAAATATTAATTGATTAAACTGTGCAAATAATCTATTATGACTATATTTGATAGTCAGTGTTGGCTCTATTCGTTTATAACTTTTTTTTCTCACGCATGTATTTTTGTAAAGGTTTCTTGTTTGTAATACCCACTCTATAGCTATAGTTTATGAGAATGCATATAAACTAGCCTTTTGTCATTTCCTTTAACTGTGTGAATTGAGAAAGTATTACAAAAATGACATTTACAAAAATCCATGCTTGAAAAAAAAAACATTAAAGAAAAAGAGAGAAACAAAGTTAAGAGTAAAAAAATATATCTTTCAATTATAGTTCCTAAATATCCACAGATCGAATTTGAGTATTTCATTTTTGTTATTTGCATTAAATAGTTGTTCAAAATTTAAAACATTGGATTAGTGAAATAACATTTCGATAGATATGAAAGGTCATCCTTATAAAATTGTTTGTTTGCCCTCTCCCAATCGACTGACTAAATAAAAATGGCCCAACTCAAAACTTTTTTTGACCTCCAGGAAACAATTTTTTTTAAAATTCATTCCAAAGGTTTTTCATCCCATTAATAACTATTCTAAATTTACATTTGCAGGTGTTTTTTGAATTAAATAAAATTATCCCTACCTACCTACCCAATTTCTTTAATCCTGATTCGGGAGAATGCAAGCAAACATTTTTTTTAAAAGATGGCCCAAGTCTAGAATGCTTTATACATGAACAATGTGCAATTTAATGAGTAGTAGAATTCATCTCCAATTTCATTACAAGAACATCAGTGGCAGAATATCTTTTCTCTTCACATATTAAACCATCTTGTCTCGATCGGAAGCTATTCCTAAACCCTGATTATTACCAGAACAATACAATAATTGTTCAAAAAAATCGTCAATCATTCTTGAGTTGCATGTCCGTCTTCTCTTCTTTTAACTCAATTCTGTATTCTGTACATTGAATTTTAGAATTTAATATCCAGTTGACTAGTCTCCAATGCACAGCTAACATCACTGATGTTGAAGAACTTTGATTTACATTGCATATCTGAACAGTCAAATATATAAGTTGTATATTTTGGTGGAAAACATTTGCTATGTATATGTACATATTAGTTACATCTGTCACAGTTTTGTAAATAAGGTTATAACTACAGTTTGGTCTTTCATGTTTTATTCTGATTTAATTAAAAATTGTAAAATTAAATCCGCAGCAAAAATAGCCATAAACAGATATCGTTTCACATGTTTGGTATTTCAACTGTTACCGCTTCAGGGACCACAGATATTTATCAGCAGGGTGGGACAGGTGCAAAGTTTGATAGGGCATATACTTTTTGGAAAACTTCTGTCTCAATTATCATTTTCAAATTGTCTGTAAATCAATAGGCTGAAAATTTTTAGATCTACCTGTGATCTATTTAAAAGTACACGTTATTACAAGAAAAGCAGTACCAAATGTCATAGTTCCTTGAACAAAAATAAGTTCTATAATGGTCGATTAAGAAAACACACCAATATCGATAGACTGGCCTTAAGAAGATGATGGATGTTTTCTATCAAAATTCAAGTCTTCTTATAATATAATAATAACTTCTAAATCAGTAGTACTGTATTAAGAAGTCATCTATTCCACTCCTAGGTGACTTGTGTTAATTAATAAGGTTATATATGTATAGTTATTAATTTGACTTTTTTACACCACATAAAATGTTGACGGGATATATGCTTTTTTCATTCTGTATGGTATGCCTATGACTTTTTAACCGTGGTTTTTTCCCCAACGGTTCCACCCGGGTGATAAATATTGACTAGTCAGTCATTTCAGTATTGTCATCTTCTTTTTCATTCATAAAAATCTGGCTTTTCCGATCTTTTTTTTCTTGGATTCAATTTCTCAGCTGATACATTAAAAACACTTACCTTGATCATCTCGTATTCTTCTTGTACTATTCTTCTTTATGAATCCGTAGTACCTATGAAACTCTTCCAAATTAAATTTCCATGCAGGCATAATATTAAACAGCAGGATGTTGCTTAAACGCGGAAAGGAAAACGGAATGTATAACGGAAAGAAAATACGAACATGGGAAATGTCGGATTACTACTTCGACTTATATTTTTACTTACGACTTACATATCTTATCCATGTATACCGATTCATCATTTTCATAATTTGGGGGATAAACTTAGCCCAAAGATAACAAGGATATATTTTGGAACGAGTGAAAATATCAAAGCTTGTGAAACTAAAAGAAATTAAAATTTCAAAGTGCCAGATACAGGTATCTTTGTTTTCTAATATAGCTTCCAAAGCATGGTAATTAGGATTGTATCATACAACGACCAAATGCATATTTCTGGGAACTGATAAATATTTTCTTTTCTTCAAAACCCAACTAGTCGGCGATGAGAAATTCTTTTTGTATTGCAGAATTCGAAGGAGGTAAGGGGATGCATTCATTCCATATTGCTGTTGATGCAGACAAAACATGTTCTTGAACAAGAATCAGGGATGTCAAGTACATAACTACTAAAATTATTCATTAAATTAGTACATTAAAATTTTTAGCAATATTTGGTGCAAATTTGCCCAGTTTCACATTGTTTATATATATATTGTCTGTAATTTTTCATTTAAGTGTTATGCATAAATGAAATAGACAATGTTCAAACGACGTCACATTAATTTACATGATTTGAATAAGTATTGAATTGTTTGCCATTGTTTATCATGTCATTACACGGACTGATAATTAAATTGAATAACGCGCATTATTTATGGACATATGCACATAGAATGTGCAAGTACACAAATTCCATTACCTAGATATCACTATTAGTCCAATAGTCACAACAGAAAAAAATTCAAACGTGTATTTCTCTTCCAATCTATCGACTACAAGTTTAACAAATATAATGGAGATTTTTTGCACTTTAATTGTGTTTAGAAACTGGTAGCTTTCCAAATCTTTAATCCTCAGAGAAAACAAAGTTTTGTTGATCAAATATTGTAAAGGATGTACTATTTATGTCTTTGATGGCTTACTATGAGAAATGAAGGAAATTCTCACGAGATTGCAACATATATATATTCTTAACCCTTCTAATCTTTTAATAGCAGAGGACATTGTATATATCTCATCTTATACTTAAAATTACATGTCCCGTAAAGAAAATTGCATGATTATTGTTGCGATAATTAAAAAAAATTATATCAGTTATTCATTTAGTGTGTTTCGAAATTTTGATGGTTTACATAGCATATACATGTATTTGTGCTCCAGAGTCAATACGAAAGTTGATTAGATGGACATCCGTGCATACTTTGGAAGGATATTTTTAAATATCTGAAGTCTAAACAGGCTGTACATCAAGTGAGGATGAATTTTTACAAGAATTTTGGTTACATCGCGTATTTCTCCCTGTTGGAGATTATTCATGCTTTATCAAGGTAAAGGATATTATAGATGGTATGATTTTTTTTTTAATTTGTACATGCTGTATATCACATTTTTAATGATACCGATGAATAATTTGCTTTAGAAATATACAATCTTAGAACATTCTGACATACATGTATTTAATTATTTGTCGTTTAGCTGGAAAGAACTAGAGAATAACTTAACCAATAAGAATTATGATTTAGCCCCTTGGACATATACAGGTAAGTTTATACTTTTCAAGACGAATTTGCAAGAATTCAATATCTATACATTTGTACATGGAGTAATTAACACATCATTTAAAGGCTTGGTTGCTACAGCTGTAGATAAAGTGCAGCTGCTACGAATTTCAACATTTTCTAAGCTTATGAAAATAACATTTTTATAAAGTGAAGAGCCATACACTGAAGGAGAAACTTATTTGTATTGAAGCTTATGCTAATTAAATGCAAAACGTTAAAGATTTCTTTTCTCAGAGAAGATTCTTTTCTCTTCATTTTATTAACCAATATTTCAGGTGAAATAACCCGCATATCAACACATCTTATATTTACCCATGTCCAGTCACCAGCATTTTCAGTGAGTGGATATATATTTTTTCTTGCAAAATAATACAGGGCATTTTTATTTGTATAAATGCGAAAACATATTCATGTCTATCGATTCATTCTTAAATG